CCCCAACTACTGAGCCTGCGCTCTAGAGCCTGCAAGCCACAACTACTGAGCCCACGTGCCACAACTACTGAAGCCCGTGCTCCGCAACAAAAGAAGCCACCGCAATGAGAAGCCCGCGCACTGCAACGAAGAGTAGCCCCCACTTGCCGCAACTAGAGAAAGCCCGCGCGCAGCAACGAAGACCCAATGCAGCCAAAAATAAATAAATAAATTTATATATTAAAAAAATTACTGAAATGGGTCGAAAAGTAGCTTGTACCAAACGTAAAATAGATAGCTAGTGGGGAAGCAGCCGCATAGCACAGGGAGATCAGTTCGGTGCTTTGTGACCATCTAGAGGGGTGGGATAGGGAGGATGGGAGGGAGACGCAAGAGGGAGGGGATATGGGGATATATGTATACACACAGCTGATTCACTTTGTTATACAGCAGAAACTAACACACCACTGTAAAGCAATTATACTCCAATAAAGATGTTAAAAGAAAAAAAAAAGAAAAAGCGAAGTAGCCGGTGTCCCTGCTCTCTCCCAACTGCCTAGAACCCGCTGGACACCTCCCCGACTTGACTGCCCCCCCGCAAACTTCCACAAGCCAGCTGCTGAAGGGTTAACACTGGGCACAACGAGGGCCTCTGAGATCCTGCTCCAGGCAAGACCAATGTCCTTTTTCTTGATTCTGTGGCGCCCCATTGTTCTAGATGTTAAATATTTTGAATATCACCCCTGAGTATAGCAGTAATTGCCTCAATCATGAAGTACACAAGGACTATAATCATATACAAAAAAAGGTCTTTTCCACAATAAATTAGGATGTACCTGAAGATTTGCAGGGTCTTGAGCAGCAAAAGTAGTTGTGTCAAAATTACTGGCATTCACTCTGATCACAGTCAGAGCCAAAGAAGGGGAGGTCAGACTTATGGTCTTGGTTGAAAAATTCAGCTGTAAGCCAATGTCATCCACTACTTTTAGCAATCTGTAAAGAGAAGTAGCCGTTCAAATTCACTCCCACTTTGTTTTCCCCAGTCTAAGCAGAATACTGAGTAGAAACTTAACAAGTCATCATGAACCTCGTACGTGAGAGAAAAATACTTGGCTTTAATTAATCATATAGAAGCATCATTATCATTAGAGGGTCCCCTCTCACGACCACATCAGTTTGCTAAGTCATACCTTTGGGCCAAAGGGGCCAGCAAGGTGGGCGGGGAATGAAGGAGTCTGCTGACTTGGTTTATCATTTGTCCTGCGAGGTTAGGCTCCAAGCTGCCTAAGGAAAGAACTTTCTCCATCCGGGACACTTGGTTCTCAAGCTCAGAAACACTGACGCTGCTGGTGTGAACAATTTCTATAACAGAGAGCCAAATCACTTTCTGAACACATAATGGAAAAATCACTAATGAAGAAACACACATAGACTCTGTGACCTAGCAAACCCACTCCTAGGTATTTGCCCCAAGGAGATGAAAACCTGTCTTAAGAAGACATGTTCATAAATGTTGATAGTAGCCTCTTTCATAATAGTCCCAAACTAGAAACAACCCAAATGTCCATCAACTGGAGAATGAGCAAACAAACTGTGGTCCATCCATACAGTGGACTATTACTCAGTAATAAAAAGGAATGAACTGCTGATAAATGCAACAACATGGACAGGTCTCCAACAGTCCAATGTATTATGTTACATGAAAGAAGCCAGACTCAAAAGGCTACATACTGTATGATTCTCTTCATGTGACATTCCAGAAAAACTGAAAGCATAGGGAAACAAAACATATCAGTGGTGCCCAGAGGCTTGGGGTAGTGGGTAGGAGTTGACTACAAAGGGACACGAGGGAACTTTGGGGATAGCGGAAACGTTATATATCATGATGGTGGTTACGTGACTGTGGGCATTTATCCAACCTCATAGAACATCTATAGAACTGGATGAATTTTATTGTAGGTAAATTATACTTCAAGAAACCTCACTAAAAAAAAATGTAAAAGCACATTAGTGTATTTAGTGTATATCTGTATAAGCATAAATATACATGTATTTAATTTACAGCATGAATACAGAACTTTATGTGGGTAACTAAAAGCTCTTTTTGTGGAAAGGAGAATATTATGAAATTAACAGCTGGACTACCAGCTGTAAGCCTGATTTTTAGTAGTGTTTTTAATTGGGATACAATGATATAAACCTGTCTAACAACAAAGAAGTCTCTTAATTTTATTGAAGTATAGTGGATTTACAATGTTGTGTTAATTTCTGCTGTACAGTAAAGGGACTCACTTATACATATATATATTCTTTTTCATATTCTTTCCCATTATGGTTTATCACAGGATATTGAATATAGTTCCCTGTACTATATACAGTATGACGTTGTTTATCCATTCTATATATACTAGTTTGCATCTGCTAATCCCAAACTCCCAATCCTTCCCTCCCCTATCCCTCTCCCCCTTGGCAACCACAAGTCTGTTCTCTATGTCTTGTGAGTCTGTTTCTGTTTTGTAGATAAGTTCATTTGTGTCATATTTTAGATTCCACATATAAATGATATCATATGGCATTTGTCTTTCTCTTTCTGACTTACTTCGCTTAGTATGATAATCTCTAGGTCCATCCACGTCGCTGCAAATGGCATTACTTCATTCTTTTTTTTTAAAATTTTTATTTATTTTTTGGCTGCGTTGGGTCTTTGTTGCTGTGTGTGGGCTTTCTCTAGTTGCGGTGTGTGCGCTCAGTAGTTGTGGCACGCGGGCCCTAGAGTGCGTGGGCTTCAGTAGTTGCGGCGTGTGGGCTCTAGGGCACGCGGGCTTCAGTAGTTGTGGCACACAGGCTCAGTAGTTGCAGAAGGCAGGCTCTAGAGCGCTGGCTCAGTAGTTGTGGCGCACGGGCTTAGTTGCTTGGCGGCATGTGGGATCTTCCCAGTCCAGGGATTGAACCTGTGTCCCCTGCATTGGCAGGAGGATTCTTAACCACTGCACCACCATGGAAGTCCTATTTCATTCTTTTTAATAGCTGAGTAATATTTCATTGTATATATATGTATAAAACACATATATATAAAAAACATATCTTCGGGCTTCCCTGGTGGCGCAGTGGTTGAGAGTCTGCCTGCCAATGCAGGGGACACGGGTTCGTGCCCCGGTCTGGGAGGATCCCACATGCCGCGGAGCGGCTGGGCCTGTGGACCATGGCCACTGAGCCTGCGCGTCCGGGGCCTGTGCTCCGCGGCGGGAGAGGCCACAACAGTGAGAGGCCCGCGTACCGCCAAAAAATATATATATATATCTTCTTTATCCGTTCATCTGTCGATGGACATTTAGGTTGTTAACATGTCTTGGCTACTGTAAATAGTGCTATGAACACAGGGGGTGCATGTATCTTTTCAAATTTTAGTTTTGTCAGGGTATATGCCCAAGAGTGGGATTGCTGGATCATATGGCAACTCTATTTTTAGTTTTCTGAGGAACCTCCATACTGTTCTCAATAGCAGCTGCACCAATTACATCCCCACCAACAGTGTAGGAGGGTTCCCTTTTCTCCACGCCCTCTCCAGCATTTATTATTTGTAGACTTTTTAATGATGGCCATTCTGACTGGTGTGAGGGGATACCTCACTACAGTTTTGATTTGCATTTCCCTAATAATTAGCAATGATGAGCATCTTTTCATGTGCCTATTGGCCACCTGTATGTCTTCTAACAAAGAAGTCTCTTAATTTCACCACCTAACATCCTATTTCTTATTTTGCATATTCCCTTCTAATCTTTATCCACCTGTTATAACTTACTATTACAAACATGGTGTGCAAACTATTGACTGTCGCGTTATTTTCACTTCACTCAAGACTTGAAAAATGCCCCAAGTTTCTGTCTAGCTGTTCTTATGCACAGCTGCGTAATAGACATTTTGTTGAGGTGGCATATCATATTTCATCATTCCTCTCTTGTGGAATTCAAAAATATCTCCAGTCATTTGGCTCCAGATCTCCTGGGGATGCTTGCCCGGGGTAGAGGAGGCAGGACCACAACTCGAGCTCCAATCTCATGTCGCCAAGAAGTTGGCTTTGCCTCCCACCCTCCAAATTCTAGAGGAAGGCCTGCTTCTTACTCACTGGCTTGAAACTCCAGAGAGTAACCAGAGTTCTCTCTGCTTCCTTCCCTCTTCCCTTTATCTTTTTAACCCTAAGCCTACTTGGTGTCCGGGGAGCCCCGTGCAGTTTCCATGGCATTCTCATGTCCGCCACGGTTCCAAACCTATGAGGATAGTGAGATTATTTCCATCTTGAGGTAGAGCAGGCTAAGTTAGGGGGAGCTAAATGGCTTATTCTGGATCCCACCGCCTGTGAGGGCCTGGGCAGACCCACCCCTAGGTCTTCTGAATTCTCTTCTCCTCCTCACGGCTACTGTGGCTCAGCCCCAGCTCTGGCACTCTGTGACTGACTGGTTTTCAGGAACATCAATGTTTTCTTTTGTCTTCTGTCTAAATGGAGTTACTGTGTTTAATAGTTCAAAATCTTTCTCTTCAGAATGTCGAAAACAGTGACCCAACAACCTTTTGTAGGAGAAAGAAACCTATAAAATAACTCATCTTGACAAAATGAGATCTGTGTTTGCCTCAGAGCTATTTCTCTTGGCCAAACAATCAAACACAGCCGTATCTATGTTCTAAGAATGCCCAAAGGAAAGCTCTCAAAATCAAGTAGGCATCACAAAAGCAAAGGCTTAACGTGGTTTCATTACAGGTATTTTGATTTGGCAGGCTGGCAGCTGGGTTTCACGTGACCAGAATTACAACAAACGTGGGAGCAGCGTTGCTCCCTGTACTTACCTGTCTTGTCAGGAGGTGTGCTGGTCGTGTTGACATTCACAGGGGCAGACGTGGTGGGAGAGGGAGGTAAGGATTTCACAGGTGGCAGGGTGTGGGAAAGATGAGTTGGCGGCATAGGGGAAGAGATAGTTCCAGACTGGGGGAGCATATCAATGGCAGGGCTGGAAGCTATGGGAGCTGAAGGCTGGGGAGAAGAAAGGGGAATCACCCCTGTTGGAGAGTGAGGGCTCTGGATTACAGATGGATGAGCTAGAGGCTCAGTAAAAGAGAAGGCACTGGAGGTCTGGGACACAATGGTGGCCTGAGGAGCAACTGGGATGGAATTGCTGGAAGAAGAAAATGGTGTACCATGTGGATGACCAGCAAGACACACAACAGGATCCTGCACGTCACTAAAGGAAAGAGTCAGAGAGATGCACGTGAGACACGAATGAGCTACAGAGGCTAACCTCTTCTTCTGGCAACCATCTGACACCACCACTGTGACATGGCTCCACCAGGGACCTGCCACTGCACATCCTCTGTGGACCTGCTACTGGCCTCCTGCCCCTGCCCATTGCCACCACCTTCTCCCTGGGAGGGGAATTAGCCAGGAGGGATGCTCTTTCATGAATTCCCAGTTCTGCTTCACTTGTTCACTGCTGCTCCCTGACTCTATCAGTCAGTTGAGGAGATCTTGTAACATTTCCAGGTGCTTCTTGCGGAGGGGAGCTATTAAACGCCCTGCGACCCAACTGGTAGTTTCCATATACTAGGAATCTGTCTTTTTTGGTGTTTTTTTTGATTTTACAAAATTTACTCTCAAAGAAAATGGAATCACATGCCCAAACTGTGCCCAACATACTTAAAATTTTTCTAAAAACTGAATCAAATGCCAAAATACCATTTTCCTTTAATATTCAAATCCACACTGACAAAACTGGCTCATCATTTTTGGAACAACTGATTCGACTTAGAAGCTAAAGCACACCCATTTCAAAACTATGTCTGTCCATAATAGATCCACTAACTCTTGTGTCAACTCAGTATTAACAACGGCTTCAAAGTGGTATGGCGTAAACTGAAAAGCAGTTCTAAATTTACCCGTAACAACAAAATGTTCTTCAAATTTTTCTTACAGTTTTTGCAACCAAAGTACATAATTCTGTCAATTACAATTACAATCTTCTGCATATTGATTGATAGAAGAAAAAAATATGTAGAAATCACTATTATTAATTTGTAGAATGGAATTTTTAATTCTAGCAAATTCTTGTACTGGTCTTGGTGGGTCACAAATAAGCTTTTCCTTTCCAAGAAACTTCAAATTTAGGTCGTTCACATGCACACTGGTGATACTGGCTAGGAAAGGTAAATCACACTGCCATTTTTTTTTCTTCAACGTACTGAATTTTGTTTCAAGAAAATCTCGAATTGGAGTTAACAATACATAAATTTTTGTGAAACTGATGAGCATAGGAATCTGTCTGGATCAATTTTATACTGCTATAGCCTGCCATGGTCCTAACTAGCACGTAGTATGTGAACAAGAAATGCTTGCTGAATGAAAACATGGATCAAGCTGGGGCCAAAGGGGTGGTCCCCAGCTTGTACATCAGCTACACCCTCAATGTTACTGTAGCCCAGTGGTTCTCAACCTTGGCTGTGCCTGAGAATTACGTAGAGGACTTTTTTTTAAAAACAGAGAGATTTCTGTGGCCTTCTCCTAAGTATCTGATTCAGTTGGTCCTGGAGTGGGGGTGAGATTCCCAGGCCCATGTATTTTCATGACATGGAAGACTGAGAAGAACTCATCTACCATCTGGCATAAAATCCACCAGTCTTCAGGGGACAAGGCAACAAATTATCACTCAGGGAAGACTCTGGTGGATCCAGTTTTAGATGGTGACTTAGAACACCAGTGAGAATGTATTCCTGGAGCTTCTCTTGGGTTAGAGGAGGGAGGAATATCAGGTTGAGAGACCTAAGGAAAGTCATACCCATAAAAAGAAATGCTGGCTCAACCCAGTCTGGGCCAGGCACCCAGCGAGAAGCCTCTCCCCACGGCCTGATGTTCGGGAAGCAGTATGGACAAAGGGGTGCCAGATAGAAAGATGATGAGTCGCGAAGCCTTGGCTGGGGCTCCAGCTCTCACTACTCCTCTGGGCAATCCACCCAACTTCTCTGAGCCTCCATTCCCTAAATTGTATAATGCGGCAACCCATCTGGCCAAGCTGTGGCAAAGGTGCTTTGAGAAGTGTAAATTAAATTTCCTTCATATTATCTGGGGGCTGCAGCAGCCGGACCCCTTAGCATGGGGCTCCCATTCGCTGGGCTCAACCATGAAGAGGTTGCCCTGTATTGCTCTCATCACTTCTGCTAATCAGAGCCCTTAACCCACCGGGTGAGGTACGTGGTGAGCAGCAGAGCAGCGGCGGGCAACGCCACCTATACGTTAGAAACCTTGGAGCACTTCAGCACCAGTGCCGGGGCTCCCAACCCAAACCAAATGAGCGAGAATCTCCGCGGTGGGTGCAGGCGTCCATATTCATTTTAATGTGCTTCTTTGCCGAGGCAGAGCCTAATACAGTAAACTGTACTAATCTTACATTTAGAGCTTGAAGAATTATAAAAATTGTAATTGTAATATGTATACACCTCTATCATCACCACCCGGATCAAAATATAGAGTATTTCCAGCACCCAGAAGGAGACCTTGACACATCAGTTCTAAAAGAGCCCCATGTGTTTCTAATTGGTTCTTAAGAACCAATGCATTGGAAAGACACTGGGCCATCATCTAATTCTAGCCTAATTTTTAAAAAATCCAGAAACCTAGGCTGCACCCCAGACCAATGACATCCCTAGCTCTGCGGGTGGGAGGCAGGCATCAGCGCATGTACGTATGTATGCGTGTATGTATGTATGCATGTATGTACATGCTGTGCCGCGTGGCTTGTGGGATCTTAGTTCCCTGACCAGGGATTGAACCCGGGCCCCAGCAATGAAAGTGCCAAGTCCTAACCACTGGACCACCAGGGAATTCCCAGCATTGCTGTTTTTAAAACTCCCCAGATGATTCCAACATACAGCCAGGGTTGAGAACCACTGTTCTACAGTCTAGAACTCCACTACTCAAAGTGGGGTCCATGAACCAGCTTCACCTGGTTCCCCCAATGTTAATATCTAACATTTGGAGTTTAACCCAAATAGCTACCAAAATTTAGCATATGACAAAGGTGGCATCTCAGGTAACTGAGGAAAATGTGGACTTTTTTTTTTTTTTTTGCTGTACGCGGGCCTCTCACTGTCGCGGCCTCTCCCGCTGCAGAGCACAGGCTCCGGACGCGCAGGCTCAGCCGCTCCGCGGCATGTGGGTTCCTCCCGGACCGGGGCACGAACCCTCGTCCCCTGCATCGGCAGGCAGACTCCCAACCACTGCGCCACCAGGGAAGCCCCAGAAGGTGGACTTTTTAATAAATGGTGCTGGGACCACTAGATAGACATTGGAAGAAGATTAAATTAGACCCATACCTCCCACTACATAAGAATAAATTCCAAGTGGATCTAATGTAAAAACAAACAAAAAAAGAAACCATACAAGTACTATAAAAACACAAGGGTAAATTCCTCTATAGCCAGGCGTAGGGAAAGGCTTTCTAATAATGCCTCCAAATTCACAAGCAATAAAATAAAAGATTGGTAAATTTAACTACATAAAACAATTTTCATTTGCATGACAAAAACATCATAAACAAAGTCAAAAGGTAACTGACAAATTGGAGAGAAAATATTTGCAACATATACCACAGACAAAGGGCTAATATCCACAATATAGAAATATATAAATTACTCTTAAAAACTGATTAAATATCTAGTGGAAAAAGATATGAACACACAATTCACAAAAATACAAAAAATGGCCCCACATATATGAAAAGAAAATGTTCAAACAGTTTTAATAAGAGAAGTACAAATAACACTAAGACACCATTCCTCATCTACCACACTGGAAAAGTTTTTCAGTATGAGGACACGGTCAGTTGGTGAGGCTGTGGGAAGTCAGAATAGTGTCAATGCTCCCCAGGTGATTCTAATGTGCAACCAAGATTGCAAACCATTGGTTTAAAGTGAAGGAAACTTCATACAAAAGAAAACTGTGCTTTTTCCCTAAACTTGAAAGCCTCCTTCACCGTCAAAATTTCAGATTCCTTAGCCAGCATGGCGATTAAGTATTATTATTATTAGGAAAAGGGTCAGCATATTTGCTACATACCACTGCAGTTTTTCTAACTCTTCCGGGGAGGAAGGGCAGGGGATCCTGACAGAACAGCAGCACTGTTCTGCAGGAAACAAAAAGAAAAGAAAGAAGAAAACGCATTGGTCAAGAATAAGGCAAGGTAGAAGCTCAGCTCCGTCAAGTATAACAGTTCTTACACTGATGGGATTTTGAAGAGCATTAGTCTAAAACAGGTGATAAAATAAATTGGATTCCATTATACTGACAATTATATATAAATAGTAGGTGCTCAAAAGTATCTATTGAGTGAATAATTTGGGGTTATATGCACACAGTATCAATCGCTCTTCAGCAACTCCTAAGAGAAATTCAGGAGTAAATATATCCCAGCAGCAATCGATCGAGCACTCCAAATAGAATTCTCCCTCTCAGTAGGGTTTGTTTTATCATGATTTGCAATACAGCATACTGAAACTTTACTGAGAAAGCAGGAAAAATCACCTTTTAGAGCTCCTTAAAAACTGCCCAAGGACAAAAGAGTCAAAACAGAAAGCTGTAACATATGTAAATTTATTCATTGTACTTTCAATTTTGAAAAGAACACATCAAAGTCATGTGAAAATGAACACAGCAATAAAGATAGAGACAACTTACCCATCCGTCGAATCTTTACTGTTTGCCAAGCAACCATCGCAGTACATATGTTCATTGTCTTATGCAGTTTTATTGTGAATGTACAATTTAATGTGCTATAAAGAGAAATATATATAACCAGAGTATTACTAAACTGGAAACCTACCTACATATTTGTAATTGCTTTTTCAAGCTTAGAGTGAGGAAAGGGGGCACTGATACTGTTAACCTGCAATGTCACCCCAATAAGCTTGTAAACACCCACCTATCAAGGGCTGAACTTTACCCCAAAGACTTTCTAGGATGAAGAATTTATAGAGGTTTACATTCACAGGGACTGCAAACCAGAGACCCTCTGACCACACACAGCTGCTGAGTCGTTTTGCCTGCCCGCATCATGAACATACAGGGGTGAAACCTGGTTGCAAAGACAAGCGTCCTGACATCTACAGTCTTACCACCCACCCACACCACCCGGTGTCTGGAGGCATTTGCGTTTCCATCAGGAGAGCCCTTTCACATACCAGCCTAGATGAATAGCAAGGTCTCTTAAATCCAAAATCTTTCTGGCCGTTCAATTCAGGTCATCAGATAACCAGGAATTTAAGACATTCTGTTTCTTTTTTACTTTCGTCTTGGTTTAATGTTGCAAATAATGAAAAGTGAAATAACCAAATACATACAGTGAATGGGATCCTAGCTACAGTTTCACGGAAGGCTTGCCTTTATTTGTACCAATGAACCGTCTGATGAGTAGAAAGTGTTATTTTCTAGGACTTTTACTCTCACAGAATGCTCAAGATTCGGGTAGTGAGATTATCGACCTAAAAGCCATTGGCTTATGCAGCCAGGACAGCCAATGGACATAATTTCAAATGATAATCTGTGTAACCTCAAATAGCTGTCAGGCAATCTCTGATTCATCCTTGCACACACTTTTTTTTTTTTTTTAATAAATTTCTTTCTTTCTTTTTGGCTGCACTGGGTCTTTGTTGCTGCACACGGGCTTTCTCTAGCTGCAGAGAGCGGGGGCTACTCTTCGTTGCGGTGTGCCGGGTTCTCACTGTGATGGCTTCTCTTGTTGCAGAGCATGGGCTCTAGGCGTGTGGGCTTCAGTAGTTGTGGCTCACAGGCTCCAGAGCACAGGCTCAGTAGTTGTGGCTCACGGGCTCTAGAGTGCAGGCTCAGTAGTTGTGGCGCACGGGCTTAGTTGCTCCGCGGCATGTGGGATCTTCCCAGACCAGGGCTCGAACCCGTGTCCCCTGCACTGGAAGGTGGATCCTTAAACACTGCGCCACCAGGGAAGTCCCGATCCTTGCACACACTTTTTATTTTCTTCTTTTCTCTTTCTTTCCTATCTTTTCCTTCCCCCTCTCTCCTTTTCTCTCCTAGCGCCATATTATGTTCCTTCTTCTCTGTGTGGCCTTCACCCTGACTGGACCACTGGGAGCCATTTATTGTTCCTATTGGTGGCCTTATGGGGCTAAGGGAACTGATGACCCTTAGCTTCATAGAACCAGAGGCAAATGGCCCAACACCACCCACCCCTCTGTGCTTCATAAAGAAATGAGAATATGGATATGACAGTGATATGTGTTTGGAAGAATAAAAAATTATATATCCAAAATGTCACTAATGTGTATCTATTTTAGAGGAATGCTTTTGAATTTGCACCCTAAGACTCCTTGTACTTTATTTCTCATGAGTAGCGAAATAAGGTTATTTATATAAAAGTATTAAAAATGACTGACCTTTGGGCCTCTGCTGTAGCACACACTATAAAATAAGTCTGAAACAAAAGAAAAAAAAATCCATGTTAGTTTGACAGTTGAAAATGTCAGGCAAGATGACCCAGGACTAATCACAGCATCACAGAATCTTAAAACCACAAGAACCCCTAGGAATCATCCAATTCACATTCCTACCAGATTAACGACATACGATCAAAGCTATTCAGGCCAATACAGGCTCTACTTGGATACCTCTAGTGTCAGGAAACTCATTACCACACAAGGAACCTCATTCTCCTGGAGCCCTTGTTTTAAGAAACTTGGTTTTACTTACAGGAAAATCTACCCCCTTGTAATGTCCATCCATTGAGCCTAGTTCTGATTTTTGGAGTAATGGAACTAGCCCGTTCATTCTTATACATGACAGATTTGGGGTAATTTGAACACATATCTCCTCAGGAGTACAGAACTCCATGCTCTCCCCCAAATAATAACAATAATTATAAACAAATACAGGATGTACTATGATTACCTCACTTAAAGTTTGCAGGGTTTTGTTGAGTTCTGATCGTCTGTTAAAAAAATGAGAAATTGATATGAAGGAGATCATTGGTGATGTTAAGTTCAAAACAAGTTAGACTTTTAGCAATTAAATTAAGCATATGGTATTTATTGCTTGCAGTGCTCACTCTGAAGAAATACTGGGTATAACAAGAGATTCCTAGGTGGGAAAAATTCATTATTTATATGACAAGGGAAACTAACCAGACAGAAGCTGTATCGGTTCTAGCCAACAGCAAGATATAAATTATGGTTGAACAATCTTATTTCATTAGGCTACTGCAACCTCCAGGCAGCTGCTTCTGGCAAAGGGCCAGAGGAAGAGCTGGCCGGAAGCAAAATTTCTGACAGGGGCCAGCCACTCACCCTGGGGTCTGTCTCTGATTTCTTACTCATTCTCTCTCCAACTGACCCCATCTGCCCTCTAGCACTCCCCAGCCCTGCCTTCCCCTCCTCACAACTCCTCTTTAGGAATTTCCCTCATTCCTTTCCTCCAATCCCACTCCAACAACAGTTTTATTTCTTCAATGTGGCAGAGCTTCACATGAACTTAGGATGAAAGAAATCTAGTTAAAGAACTCACGTGAAGGCAGCGATTCTCAACTGGGGTGACTCTGCCCCCCCCCCCGGGACATCTGGCAATATCTGGAGACATTTTTGATTGTCACAATTGGGGGCAGGGTGCTCCCTGCATCTAGTGGGTAGAGGCCAGGGATCTGTTACACATCCTACAATGCTCAGCACAGCCCCACATAACAAAGAATGATCAGGCCCCAAATGTCAACAGTGCCGAGGCTGAGAAATCCTGCTCTAAGGACTGGGCAATAGTTCTTGGCTCCAGGGAAGGTCTGGAGAGAAGAGAAGTATCGTGGCAACAGTAGTCAGCTAGCTTTTCAAGCTGGCAGGAGCTGCTCCTGCAGAACTGTGCTCAGAGGCCACCTTCTTTCTGGGGTTTCCCTGGCCACTCCAGTCATGTCCAACTACTCTGCCTACTCTATATTCAGACACTCAGAACATCCTTTGGTAGCCCGTACGTGTCACCTTCATTGCAGGGATTATACTGTATTGTTATCATTTGTTTGCTTCCTGCTTCTTTCCCATCAGACTCTAGATTCCTGCTTCTCAAAATTGGCCTCGTGCTGGAACCACCTAGGGAGTTTTCAAAAACACCAATGCCTGCAACTCAGGCCCCAAATACCCATTTAATTGTTATGGAGTGTGCCTGGATAGCAGGCATTTAAAAAGCTCCCCAGGTGATTTTAATATACAGTCAGGGTTGAGAACCACTGCTCTAGACCCAGTTTTCCATCTCAGAGAGTTGGGTTTATCCCCATTTGTATCCCCAATGCCTAGCATACAGTGGGTGTTCAACAAATGCTTGGTGGCTTTAAATGAACTCATCTATATTTCAAGTCTAGCAATTAAAATGAATTACTTACAAGTATGCTAGGTTGTGTTCTATTTACGAACTTGTGAGTTTAAAAACATGTTTCCTATCACGTGTGTTTTTTTTATTGATAACTTGGAAAAGTTTTTCTCCAGTGTCATCACAGATACTCCTCAGAGCTTCTGGATTTGGTTCAAAAGTTTACGAAAATCTCTTTTGAAAGATAATAGCAAGGTTGAGAGTGGATGAATTTCACCTGTGACGGTCAAGGTGAGACTGTCTGCTGGCCGACATTTTGACCTATTGTCTAACTAGGAGCATTTATTTGTAATGCATTTCTTACTATCTGTGCTTACCCTTGTAAACTGAGGTCTACTTAACAAAGACCTCTCTCTGACTTTTGAATGACCAATGCCTCATGAAAGCATGAGTAAATGGTATACATGGAGTCCTACCTTGAACTCTTATTTCAACCTGGCTGGCTACCAAATCATATTAAAACCCAAATACCATTTCAGATGGAGCTCTTGAAACCGTGGGTAATTATTAGTCAAATCCATTTCGCCTATAACCTGCCTTCACTAATCAAAGTTCTTTTAAGACCTGCATTTCCTCCAAGCAGCATGTAGCCTAAACAATAAGATGTTTTCCCGAGTTGTTTTCCAGGAACTTGGAGTCAGCTGTATCTAGTTCTAGCTGAACTGGTTAAGACGGGATTAGGACCCGTGACCCTCCAACTGGGCATGCGCGAGTGTCCGATGTCCTTGGCATCAGAGGGCTGAAAACTCCACCCTCAGATGGTGCTAAGCGCCTCCATTTTTGAACATGCAGAGGTCTGTAGCTTAGTAACACCTGCACAGAACAAAGATTACCCACCTTTTTCCAATCACCTTTCCCCATGCTCCCCACGCTCCCCAGCCTCAGACTGCCCTGCCACTTTATTCTTTACCTCATAAATACCCCAAGTCCCTGGCCTTTGGGGAGGCAGATCTGAGACTTGTTCTCCTCATGTGGCTGCCTTGGGAACAAACCCTTCTCTTTGCTGCAAACCTTGGCCTCTCAGTGTTTTGGCTTGCTGTGCATTGGGCAAAATGAATCTGGTTTGGTGACACTCTTACATAATTCGATAGCATCAAAGAGAACAGCCTCACAGGGATATTAGTTGAAGACAGGCGACTATGGTTAGTTTGCAAAGATCTCAAGACCCAATTCCTTATGACCTCTGGGGTCTGTCTCTTTCCTATTCTCAGTTTCCAAAAGTATAGATAGCGCAACAAGTATCTTTCCGTAGTTGATGTCTTAAGTTTTAAATCAAACAGCAGATTGATTACTCACTTCAATTCCCTTAGAGACAGGATTCCAGTTGAGGTACCATTAGCCATAACTTGATTCTGCTAGAAGCACAAAATCATTAAGAATACGACAAATATTGTTTTGTTTTATAACACTTACTAAGAAGAAGCTGTTCTTCAGTTTTGTTAGGCGCCCAAAGAACTACACCCCAAAGACTGTGATTCCTAACGGCATGGAATATTGTCTAGCAAACGATCAAATATATATTGGCTGAGTCAGTTTTTGTTTTTATGTTTTCTTTAAAAAAATATTCTGAATCAGCAAGTCTGATGTGCTAATTTCTATCTTTTGTTGTTCCAAGGGGTCCCCCAAAAGAACACTATTAAAGTTCTCTATGTGAATGTAAACAGGGACACTTGGTAGCAACCATCACTGCATTTCTAGCACCTAGCTCATTGCCTGGCACATAGTAGGTGCTCAGGAAATATTTACTGAATTAACAAACCATATTTAGCTGGGATCTTCTGAACCAATCTAGGTTATGGGAAGGCTGATACTACTGTGTCTGAATCCCCCATGGGGTGAACAGGATCAGATTGAGAAGACAATCTTTAGGTTCAATATATTACATTTCTTACTGCTAGGAGTTTCTAATATAATTTTAAATTTTGACTGGCAATAGAACTGTATCATATAAACACTCTATTCAGCATCAAGCCTAGTGAAAATTAAAATATAATTTTTAACAAAATACCATGATTATCATGAAGTCAAGCCCTCTCAACAAAGCTAATGTTTCAACAACACGTACTTTATTTAAATTTGGTGATAAAATATGCTAAATATCAGAAATAATTTGAACCTTAAATCTTTAAATACATGAAAATTCACTTTTTAAATTGCAATTAAAAAATCTTTAAAACCTACCTGGGTAACATTGCTTTCTTCATCATATTGAAACATGATCTCACCTCTAAAAAAGGCTAAAAATAAATTTTCAAAAAGCAATTTGAAACTTGCATCCTTAGAGTTTGAGGATTAATACAATACAGAAAAATATTATCAGATTACTTTATAAACAATTTCATCAAATTCTTTGTTATTCACATTTACTTTCTTTTCTATCACAAAGTTACCCAACAATTATCAATCAGTATAATTTTCAGAAAATATCAACTATACATTTTATGTGGGAATGCAGAAAAACAAAAAACTTGTCCCCTCGTCAAGAAATTTTATCCCTATCTATGTGCTTCGCATCAGGACTTTGTTTCCCTTAATGATGTTAACTGGGGAACTGTGGCTCTAACACTGCAAATCTTTTTAAGCTGTTATAGTTGCAGTTATGGGAGACACGGGAGGGACGGAAAAAGGATTTCTCAGCAGTTACACAGCCTTATGAAAGTCTATTTATTCCTTGCCATTTTGGGTTTTTCTTTTTTGTTTTAAAATACAGCTACCAGATGAAAATAAAAATATATATATAATAATAAAATAAAATACAGCTACCAAATGCACTATCTTTCCTAGGAGCAAAGTTGAGATTTTGCTTTGAAACCTGAACAGAATGCAGAGCAAATCCTTTCTTCAGCTGAAAAACTCACTGTGGCTTTCGTCCCAGAAACGCCAGAAAACCCTGTTCTGAAAATGCTCTCCTTGGGAAACACAACTCAATTTCAGTCAATGCCATTTCCTACAGGGTATACTCGGAAGGGCTTTGGCTCTATCTGGAGACAAAACAGAGACTCCTTAACAGAAGTACACTGTGTGCACTTCATAATCTACAGACACAAAAAACTGGCCTCCTGATCAGAAGGGCAAGGATATCATATAAACTAGAGCAGGATGCAGCCAACTCTTTTGGTAAGAGATCAGAAAGTAAATATTTGAGGTTTTGTGGGCTATAGGTTCTCTATCGAAACTACTCAACTTTGCGGTTGTAGCGTAAGAGCAGCCATAGACAGTATATAAATGAATGGCATGGCTGTGTTCCCATGAAACTTTATTTACGAAAACATGTGGCAGGCTATTATTTGGACTATGCACAGTAGTTTGCCAACTCCTGAGCTAGAGGGTGGAAGGCCACCCCGTCTCATCTTTTATTGCACTACAAAGTACAACTGATTCCCACAGCCAAGGACCCAGTGGTCCACTTCCCCTTAAAATGGCTGACAACGCCACTAGGCCAGTGATTAACATGATTTATCTATTCCAGCAACCTTTCTACTGAGAACCTCAAACTCTGCATATTGATACTGAAATTTCAATTAATGCACTACATAATTATTAAAAGTAAAGATAATTGATGGGGCTCCCCTGGTGGCGCAGTGGTTAAGAATCCACCTGCCGATGCAGGGGACACGGGTTCGAGCCCTGGTCCCGGAAGATCCCACATGCCGCGAAGCAACTAAGCCCGTGCGCCACAACTACTGAGCCTGCGCTCTAGAGCCCACGAGCCACAACTACTGAGCCCGTGTGCCACAACTACTGAGCCCACGTGCCTAGAGCCCGTGCTCCTCAACAAGAGAAGCCACCGCAATGAGAAACCCGCGCACCGCAACGAAGAGCAGCCCCCGCTCGCCGCAACTAGAGAAAGCCCGCGCACAGCAACGAAGAACCAACGCGGCCAAAAATAAATTTAAAAAGAAAAGATAATTGATACATGCATAGAATTACTCGTACATTTTTGCAAAAATCTTAGCTTTTAGAAACTTATTTAGTGCCTGTGTGTGTGTGCTGACACCCACAATTTTTCTCCCTCACCTCTCCATTCTCCAAGTTCATCCCGCAGTCTTATTCAGCACATGCTGAGTTTCAAGAATGTGCTGGGCGCACAGGGGTAGCAGAGCAACCAGGAAGCAGCCACCTTCTGACCCTCAGCCTAACTCTACCTGGTCAGCTCTCAGTTTTTTCACCAGCCTCCATTTCCCTTAATGAATCCAGATTGGAAACTGCAAGAAGTGAAGGTTTCTAGTTTCTGGGAGGATATCGTGGAATTTCTGGTGACAAAACAGTAGGTCCCCTGAAGAGGCTGTTTTCACCAGACACTAAAACAGATGGTCAATTCAGTAGCTTAACTGGGGAAAACATTACTCTAACCAGCTTCCTGGCATCTGTTACTCAAGATGACCAGGTTTTTTTTTTGACTTAATGTTCAATTTTCAGTTAACAAACATCATGTAGACATAACACTAAGCTAGACATTAGTCACCAGTCCAAAACATAGATGAAGCATGAAAATAACGAAATTATGGAGAATTCAGTAAAGAGAAGGGTAAGAGAGGAGGGAGAGGAGAAGGAGGAGAGAAGAGAGTTCCACAATATATAAAGGTGAAATGTATCCAACAAGTTTCTGCTCCCTTTAATCAAAGCCAGCTAACACTTTCCTGCTATATTCGACCTGGAGCATACTATCAGCAGAAAGCTGATGTAAGTAAACCTCACAATCACATAAACAGAAAGTGTCTGTGGAACATTCTTTCAATGGAAGTTTTCTAAACTATCCAACCTTAACTTACTTCACTTGAAATTGTTTCCTATGTTTTTCAAAGAAATTATTAAACTGTTAAAAGGAACAGAATAAAAGGAAAACATTCCTATAATGATTGGCTTTTTTGTATCACTGGAGCTACACTAAGACTTCAATATTATAAAATACTTTGTTACTTTCCTCTTCTTTCTTCCCATGGTCCAGTTCTGACCATCCATACCATGTTTTTCTGTTTTTCACATCTCTTTCATTGGTTTTAATAAGGAAGGGACCCGAGAGAGCCAAACCAACGTCAGAAAAGTGGTTGTTCCATTCCTTCTGGCCCATGGCAGAAGGGAAAATATTCCCATTTCAAAAATAGCATGTTCTCAAGCGACTGCCATCTTAATTTTTAAAAATAGTGGACAGTCTAGTTAGAGATGGCAAAATACACTATGGGCACTACTGCAATTAGCGTCCAATTAAACCAGGTGTACGTAAGATTTGCAACATTCTAGTAGAGTGGTTTGTTTTATTTTTAGCAAAAGACAACATCCTGTTTCTAAGTTATAATACTTAAGGTCCTATGGAGAACCTTGAGGATATTATATATAAGAACTGGCTTTCAATAATTAAGTTCATTATTATGTTCATAAATCAACTCTAAGGGCATTAGCTATGGATTTAAAGCTATGGTGAAAAATATTTGGTGCAGAGCTTCACGTTCTCATATTAAGGAAGTTAACCCATTACCTCACTTTCAGCCTGACCTAAAATTTGCTTTTGTTTTCATTCGAGACTCTTAGTAGCCAGGTGTGATGAAAGGAGATAAATCAGAGGGGCACACATCACATACTCAACGGCAGGACAACAAACCATTTCTCTGTGGAGCTAATTTACCCGGTAATGTGTAGGGTACACAAGAACTAACCTGAGTCATTGCAAATAGATGACAAATTGCAGATATTTCTCTGGGGTTTGACACCTGCAAAGAAAACACAACACAGCGGGTTAAGCATGTAAACACCTGCACTTACATACTACATTAAGAGAATTCACAAATTCAAGCATTAAGCGTGTACCCAAAATATTACATGTTGGATGTAATTGGCTGGATGAATTCCACAAAGACTAAAGGAATGAGAATTTTCATTTCTTAGTAGTTCAATTATGGAACTGGACTCTACTATTCTTTAGTATGTCAGTGTCTGATCCCCTACTCCCTAAAATTTCTTTGTCCCATTCCCAATTAATCCCTCTTCTGTCCAATATAAAAGGAACAGCATGAATACAATCGAGTATAGAGACTTTACATGAAATAGCCCTTCCTTACTCATAGGTCCTCCTTCCTTTCCTAGGCAGGGGATTCCATGAACACTCTAACGCTGGTCTTACCTCCTTATGCAAACGTATGTATGAAATAACATCAATGTCATGATGTCATTTCACATGGGCAAAAACTACAAAATTCAAAAAATGTTTGCTGAGCACCTACCTTATTCTATAGGCTTTGGGAGGTTCCAGATACAGACCCTGCCCTCAACAAGCTTACAGTCTAGTGAGTGATACTGGCCAGTAAATAAAAAGTTATAGTGAGGGCAAAATGGAGTGATGGACAGTACAACAGATGACGTAGGCATACAAAGGAGGCAGAGACGAATGGGAGGTGAAATAAGCCATGTTAGAAAAAATACTTCATACGTATTAACCTGAGAAATACTTTCTCCTTTGGTGAGAGGAGAGGTACATCTCTTCTTTGATTTGATTTACTCTGCTGAGAATCTTCCCTTCATTAATTTCATCCTTTTGGCAAAGTATAAGAAATCTATAATAAGTGTGAGGGGCAAATGCTGATAATGTATTAGCAGACTGCCAAGGGGAGAAGGTTGTGATATTAAGAAATATTTTGATGTCCCTGTTAGGCCTGGTTTGGTCAGAATTAACGTATGCAATGCCTGATTGCTATTTTATTTCTAAGTACTTTATGAGTGCTTAATTCTTCCCTAAGAGAACTAGTTTGGACACAAACTAAAATTATAATTTGAGTTAGTGCATGCGATGTGGTTCCTGCCAGAATGATTTAGTTGACATTTGGAGTGTAGGCATCACGTTTCAGCTAAGAGTTTTGATTCTGTGAGCGAACTGAATTTAGGTGCCAAAAGTTACCTGACATGTAGATTTCTATACTGTTGTGCAGCAATGTTACCCACACCAAAAGAGAAAGATTTCATTTTAAATATACTTGCTTATGGATATAACTCACTATGCAAATACTATAGATTACTATGGATAGTAATGCTTTAATGTTGTTGGTCAAACATTGTTCTATTGCTTACTAAGCTTTTCATTCTCTCATCTCCATCTCTCATCTTTCTCGAAATTTTAGTAGCACCTTTGTTTCCAGTGATGCGTATCTTTTGCTACTCATTCATACTGAGAATTTTCTTTCCTATTGCTAGGGCTGTTATCCATAATTTCCTCCAAGTACACGGCCACAAGTCAGCCTTTAAATCATGAGCGAGAAAACTCTGGCTGTAATGGGCCAACCCTATTGTAAATATTTTAGGCTTTGTGTGTCATATAGTCTCTGTTGCAGCTACTCTACTATTCCTTGTGGCGGGAAAGTAGCCATAGACAATGTGTAAACAAATGGGCATGGCAGTGTTCCAATAAAACTTTATTTACAAGAACAGGTGGTGGGCCATATTTGGCCCACAGGCCATAGTTTGCCAACCCCTGCTTTAAATCAACTGGAAGCCTTTGTTAAGCAAATCATGTATCCTTAATCTTATAATAGGCACTTAATAGTACATCCCTTATTTGATTTAAAAAGAGTTTGAGGTTCACTCCTCTAAGAATCTTTCCTTCATAAATTGCATCTCACTGATAATCATTAGCACCAGCCCTTCTATCTCTCACGATTCTTATCCATGTCAGAATCACTTGTGAAATCATTGCCTTTATCTGCACACATGTTCATGCTGGTTATCTGTTTGCCTTGTCTCTCCTCATAGACTAGAAGATTCTAGAGGGCGGGCATTGTGTCTGATCATTATTATATAACCCCAAACACTTAGTACAATTTAAGGTACCCAGTGCATAAACACCTACACGTGAAGAACAGATTTGATTTTTAAAAGACAGGAAAAAAGAGAAAGAAAACATAAACACCAGCCATTTGTTTAATTTTACTTTAGTTACAAAAAAAGAAAGTCTTGATATTGATAATAAGTCATACCTGATGCATTGAAGGTTTTTACTATAGTGATTTTAGTTTTTTCTGCAAAGAAGCAATTTAAATATTAGAGCAGAATTGTTATTTTTTAAAAACAATTTGCCATGAGTATCATTTTAGTGAACTGCTAAGAAAATCCAACTGTTGACACATTTAAGACACTATTGGTCATCTCAGCAGCAGAATGAATGAGAATTACATACTCAGATCATATAGCATTGGCAGAGGGTGGGTCTGGATTCGGATTCCTACATTTACCCAGTTAGATCATTCCTGTTACCCCACTGCCTGCATAATTCTACTGCAGTTTCCATACGCTGCTGCTAGACAAATTAATGTGAACTTACACTTCAGATATGCAGAATTAAGTCACTATCAGGACCTTCGGTGATAGGTTGTAAGGAGCAGGTGATTCAGAATAAAAATGAATGGAAACAGTAAACACAGGATCTACTATCAAAATATTGCTACTATACACAAATATCAACAGTGTCCTCCTACCTTCTTTAGGAGTTAATAATAATAATATAATATTATTGATAGATAAAATTATTCTCAGAGAGGTTGAGACTATCCAACTACAGTCATCCAACAAGCTCACAGCAGAACCAGGACAGAATTGTTCCAAGTCAATGACTCACAGGCAAATATTAACACACTCTGAAGAAACGAACCTTAGAAATATCTTCCCGACACGCTTTGGGAACAGAGCCCATGGCTTATTTCCCACATAATAGAGAACCAGGCTCAGAAATCCTTACTGTAAGGATGGCCAGTTAGAAGAGACTGTGTTCCGGGCACAGACTTACAAAGAAGGTCTGTCTCCTAGGGTGAGTAGCAAGTTCTGAAGAAAACACAAAGCTCAGATCTTGGAGAAACACTTAAGAATGATGACGTTATCCTGACAGTTTCAGAAATCTCATGTCTGTATGTGTTATTGACAAGCTTCTGTTTCAGTGTGTGAAAGACCCATGGGCAATGATCGGTGGTAATTATAAAAGCTGACAGCATTTTGCATTACTATTAAGAATCCTTTTAATATATTATTTTGTTTTGCCCTGACACTTTCCTTTCCAGAGCAAACAAAACACAGCTGTGAAATGAACTTCTGATTCCAGTAAAAAAATCTTTGGGGGAAAGGGGTTCAACCTCACAAATATGAAAAGATGCAAAATAGAACCTAAGGAATTGAGAGGAAAATCTAATAGTATATGACATAGTCTCAGCTCTAGGCAAAGGTACGGTTACAAAGACATTCTCATCCACTGCAGACAGGAATGTTGTTGGGTGCAACTTTTCTAAAAGGTAATTGGGCAATTGGTATCAAGGGCCTTAAAATATTCATAATGCTGACCCAAATAAGTCCAATCCTTGAAGAGCATTCTACAAAAATCAGGGAGAAATGCAAAGATGTTGGCACAAGGATGTTCACTGCAGCAATTTCTATTTAAAAAGCAGAAACAGGGACTTCCCAGTCCAGTGGTTAAGACTCTGCACTCCCACTGCAGGGGGCACGGGTTCCATCCCTGGTTGGGGAACTAAGATCCCGCATGCTGCGCAGTGCAACAACGACAACAACAAAACAAGTAGAAACAAATTTAATGTTCACATATGGTACACGACGGAATATTATCAAGTCATTAATAGTAAGGGATGCTGGAAAATACTTATAATTTAATATGAAGTCAAAAGGGTAAGATACAAAAATGTATGTAAACTATGACTATTTTGTTATATATATACATAGTGTGTATATATATATATGATACTGAATGGAAATATACCAAATTATTAACAGTAATAGTCTTAGGAAAGGAACGTTAAAGATGATTGCTATTTTCTTCTTTGCATTTTTCTATATTCCCCATTTTTTATGAGCTAAGATGTATTACTACTGTAATCAAAAAAATTGTAAATGTTATTTTAAATGGAGTGCTATAGCCATAAGAGTTTGGAAGTTCAGGAGTGTGGTGACACCAGAATTATAGTTCAATGTCAAAGTAAAACGAGTAATAAATCAACAGTTGGAGTCATAGGAAATGGGCAAGGACATAACTTTTACTAACCCAGAAGACCACACAAGTGAGAAACTCAAGAAGCCACAGAAGACAAGTTATTATATTTAGAAATAACTTGACATTACCTGTTTTGTTCAAAGTAGATAATACGCTCGAAGTAGCATCTGAAATAAAATAATAAAAATTAGCACAGCTATTGACATGGTTAACAAATACATGCATCTTCCTAAGTTCCTTAAACATTTCACTTTTCCCCAAATCCTGGAGAAGTTAGAGACTTTTGCAAAAGCCAACTGGTCCACCCCGTCACGACACTAGCCATTCCCCAACCCGCGCAGACCATTCCTCAGCAAGTATTCATTCATTTAAAAATGTGTTTCCTGAACACGTTTTACGTGTCTAAAACATAGCAGCACTCCTATAATCATTAGATTTAAATAAACCTATTTATGTTGTTTAATATTCTGTCCCCTTTTTTTCTCTATTATAATGAAAGTCTCTAAGGGATATGACATTTCCGTAGTTAGTAGTAACTTTAATATTATACATAGCCCTATAGATGCTTAATGCATTTGTACCTAAAGGTATACTCTTATAAAACAATCGTTAAGAAATTCTAGTTTAAATTTGGAGTTCCTGAACATGATATTCAACGAACTTTCAAGGAAATCTCATTTTGATTGTTTCACTTAAAATCCAATTTAAAATCTACCCTATTGGTATTTCTTTAAATGAAAATCCTTCTAGAATTTATTATTCTGGATGAAACTTTAAGGGGGAAAAAAAGGCCTGTAATATATTATTACACTTAAAAAAAAAACAACCCACACAAATGGGATCCAAAAACTACTGCCAAGGCTATTTTAAAGATGTTTTTTCACTGTAAAAAGTAATTGCACATAAAAATGATAATGTCTTGGGCTTCCCTGGTGGTGCAGTGGTTGAGAGTCCACCTGCCAATGCAGGGGACATGGGTCCGTGCCCCGGTCCGGGAAGATCCCACATGCCGCGGAGCGGCTGGGCCCGTGAGCCATGGCCGCTGAGCCTGTGCGTCTGGAGCCTGTGCTCCCCAACGGGACAGGCCACAACAGGGAGAGGCCTGCGTACCACAAAAAAAAAAACAGATAATGTCTTTCCTTCCCACTGGACCAAATGTGAATTTAAACCAGTTTTGATTGGCATGAGTTGCATCTATGATTGTTTAGCTCCTTAACCACCAACCACATGGTGAGATTTCATCTTAACTAAGGGATTGTGAAAAGTGTTGGGTTTTGACTGCAATAAGATGGAAGGCTGTCTACCCACAGAGAAAGGGAACAGAATGTGCTGCCCTGCGCACCTCCCTCGATTATAGCCCAATTCTTTGCCCTTTTCCCTAGCATGAAGCCAGATTTTTTTTCATTTCATACTATTTAAAAATTGATAAAATCATCTGTAAAAAAAAAAGGCTGTCTCTGAACACTTCGTGCCTCTAAATCTAGGGTGAATCACATTAAAGTCACTGGATGTGCTTTTCCCATTTAAACAATCTGTCCTGTAAAGTGTGTTCACATCGTGTTGGAGAGCAAGTAGAGCTCTCAAAATGTGATCGATATTTCTTTCCTTTCACAGCACAGTTAGAATGGTGTACGGCTGTCCTCCTTCCACAATAAGAATGTTATCATTTAACCAGAAAGTTTAGGTTGCTCGCCAAGGTCGATGGTCTGGGGGATTTTTTGTGTTTGTTTGTGTTTGTTATTTGAATAAGGAAACCTTCAACACCATTCATTATACTTATATTCATATTAAGGGTTATCAATTTTCACTTGCTACAGAAAAATTCTTACCATTTAAGCTTGTAGTTTCAACCTCTTTTGTCCCAAGGAAAAATGACAAGACAAAGGTATGATTAAATCAAAAACTTAACAAATTGGGGTAAATATAGGTTTAAATTTTTTCAAAATCTTGCCTGGAGTACCATTGGAGTAGGGGACAAAACCAACAAGAGATGATTCAGCTGCAGGAGAAAAAAAAATTCCAATTAATACTTTGAAACAATTATTTATTGAGTTTTAAGGAGTTAAACTTTTGAGATATAATTATGAAAAGTAGAAAACAGGCTATCAGACCAACATGTAGTTAACTCTGCAAGTCCCATAATCACTCAGTGAGTGTACATTTAATCGGAAAATCATAAAGAAAGAACCTAAGAGATGAAATGAGTACAACTGTTTCATTTTACAGGTAAAGAATATGAGACTCATGACCACGAAGTTTGCTCTGACCTATGGAATATTATGGAAATAACTTCAGGAACCACAACAAAATAGAGACATACTACTTTCAAAATTTTTCAGCCACAGAGTCCTAGAAAACATTTTATAGTTTGATAATTTGTCACACTACGATTATGAAACATATTGGCACATAGGTTCTACTCTGTTTATAATGACACCTGGTAACTTTTCTCATAATGAATTTAAGATTTAAAAAAATGACACTGCTATCACTCAATACTGTACTACCTAACACAACTTCCTGGTAAGTTATTTTAAAATATGGCTGCTGGGACTTCCCTGGTGGTGCTGTGGTTAAGAATCCGCCTGCCAATGCAGGGGACACGGGTTCGAGCCCTGGTCCAGGAAGATCCCACATGCTGCGGAGCAACTAAGCCCGTGTGCCACAACTACTGAGCCTGCGCTCTAGAGCCCGTGCGCCACAACTACTGAGCCCGCATGCCACAACTACTAAAGCCCGCATGCCTAGAGCCCGCGCTCTGCAACAAGAGAAGCCACTGCAACGAGAAGCCCGTGCATCTCAATGAAGAGTAGCCCCCGCTCGCCGCAACTAGAGAAAGCCCATGCACAGCAACGAAGACCCAACATAGCTAAAATATTTTTTAATTAAAAAAAATAATAAAATAAAATATGGCTGCTATTAAGACAATCAGGTTGTAAATTTCCTGTGGAATAACTCTATTTATGCTAAGAGGTCAGTCTACTGCACACACTTTGCATGTTTAAATATTAAAAAGATCCAATGGCTTGACCTCTCCGTATACACAGGACAAGTAAACATTTTACAACTAAACTGAGCTTTGCAATAGGGAGCCTGATATTCAGCTGGTAAGGACAACATTTGGGCGTGTCGAGGCGCTTGGCTGGCCTGTCTGTTTTAGACCAATCATGCGTTGGCTGAAACACACACACCCTGTCTGTCCTACATTATTCCTTCCAAATTTTGTCATTTTTTTAAATTACCAAGTATATTTCTTGAGAAGTAAGACAGTTCCTGAGCAATAAGATTCAAAGCCTGGGTATGGAATCCTTTGCTCTTGGGGCAGAACAATACAATTGGCCAAAGGTGGTTTTTAATCAATGGCTATTCATTTTTCTGATTGGAGAGGAATGGGTGACACCATCCAAAGAGGCCTGCAGGCACAGCCGCCTGTCCATCCCTGGATGTGTGCTGGCTTTCCCCTGGGGCCCTGGGGCTGTGCCTGGCATCACTGTGTGCCTCCAAACCCTCGACCTCATTCCATGCAAACAGAGTTTTGCAAAGATATCACCACGATTAAGTCTGAGAAGGCTACTGCAGCAGAAGAAAAATGCAGTGGTTCATTTTATCCTAGAAGTTTAATAACAAGGGGGCAAACTGGCTTAGTTAAAAGAGCTTGGGCTTTGGAGATTTGCAGTCCTGGCTTTGAATCTCTGCCCCGTTACTTAATAACTTAATAATAATGATCAGAGACTTCCCTGGTGGCACAGTGGTTAAGAATCTGCCTGCCAATGCAGGGGACACGGGTTTGAGCCCTGGTCTGGGAAGATCCCACATGCCGTGCAGCAACTAAGACCGTGCGCCACAACTACTGAGCCTGTGCTCTAGAGCCCGCACGCCACAACTACTGAGCCCGCACGCCACAACTACTGAAGCCCACACACCTAGAGCCCGTGCTCCACAACGAGAGAAGCCACCGCAATGAGAAGCCAGTGCATTGCAATGAAGAGTAGCCCCTGCTCACCGCAACTAGAGAAAGTCCACGCACGCAGCAACGAAGACCCAACGCAGCCGAAAATAAATAAATAAATAAAATTTTAAATAAGTAAATTTGTAAAACATAATAATAATGATCGTTATTACTTACTGAGGGTTTACTCTGTGCTAGGCACATGTGTTATCTCATTTCATCTTCACAACTTCCCTATGAAGCGAGTACTGTTATTCTCTTCAATTTACAGATGAAAAAACCGAGGCACAGAAAGGTGAAGGAACTTGTCCAAAGCCACACAGATAGCAGTGGAGGTGGGGGGGCGGGGGGGTGGCCAAATTCAAACCCAAGTAGTGTGGCTCCAGAGAATGTGTGAACATGAGCAAGTTTCATCCTCTCTGACCCTCGGTTTCCTCATCTATAACATGAATATAACGATCCCTATACTGCAAGATTGGAAGCAAAAAGAGATGTCGGAAGACTCCCAGACATTTAGTATGTGCATGAGCAGTAATAGCGATCATTACTAATTTTAGTTAAATGAATTAACAACAGTAGAAGCTCATTTTCACACAACTAAGGACAATGTGAGTTGACTCACTCCTTACCGTAAAAGATTGTTCTGTGCTATATGGTATATATATTACAGAATGAAACACAGAAGTAGGAGTTAGAGAAGCCATGTGCTGCCTCTGTGATGTAGGGCAAGAAGCCGTGTGAACTTAGATAAGTTACTCAGCCTCTCCAGGCTGCACCGTGTTATTAACTAAGGGATGGGGTGGGACCACTTTATCCCTGAGGTCCCGTTGTAGCCAGCAGTCTGGAATGCAGGTTCAGCTCCTGGTTCCTGCCAAGACGGGTCCTAGTTATAAATTTCTCTTTATTGATTTGCCTTCCCATTCTCATGAGTGCTAAGCCTTTAGAAGCCTTTTGAAAAATATTAATTCAGTGGGGTGCTGAGGAAGTATATTTAAGAGAACATCTCAACCCTCAAATATAGAAACATTTAGCATGTTTATGTCCTTGATACTCTTCAGGAGACATGAACTAGAATACTAAAAATAACACTGAAGAACTGAAGCAGTTACCATGATGAAAACCCACAACTTAGTCCCTAGCTTTCTTTAGCAACTGGGGGGGATTGATAGACTATCCTGTTGTCTGTGTCTGCTTTGATTTTTCGGGAGTAGGTTTAATGACAGAATTTAATTAAGCTTCATAAAAGAAAACAATTTTTCTGTATCTGACATTGCATGGAGAACTTTTAGAATATTTTGCTGAAATGCCCCCAAAGTCATGAAATAACAATCTTACCAGAAGGTGACAACAAACTGGAATTATCAGCATGCTCTGTTGACGAAAAGGGTGATTTAAAGTTAGTTTAGTTTGTAGATTAAACAACAGGGAACTACTGTATAATACAGGGAATTATTACAGTATCTTGTAATAACCTATAATGGAAAAGAATCTGAAACAGAATATATATATATATATCTGAATCACTGTGCTGTACACCTGAAACTAACACAACATTATTGTAAATCAACTATACTTCAATTAAAAAATGTAAAAGTAAATAAAATTAGTTTGTACATGAATTTGTAGGAGATTAACATCTTTAACGGCAGTGAATGTAAAATGAGTTGCAAATAGCTACCAAAAGAGGGCAGTATGTTAATTTACTATTATTTTCAACAGCCTAATCAGTTCTTTCAATTCTCCACAAAGACATATCTCTGGTGAAGCAATTCTTCCAATTTAACTGTTGATGGTACTCTATATATTTTGTTATATAATGGTTTAGTACATTTTAAAATAAAAATGATGACTAAGAACTTCGGTTGTTGGCAAATGTTCATTAGAATGTGTAAATGTATACATCTGCATAAATTAAACTTCCCGTAACTGTACTTCTTTTTATACCTATTAGCGCAGACTTTATACCTTTAATTAAGCCAATCAGACACCTCTGGGTATATAAACTACCAGAACTGCTGTGTTATTTATTTTGGGAGGATGCTATATTCCTTAAAAGAAAAGTAATTCTATTTTTTTCTCTATGAAAAATAATACACTTATTGGAGAAACTTCAGAAATTACAGATAAACAAAAAGAAGAAAATTAAAACCACCTATAATTTCACTACCCAGACATAAATGACATTAACATTGTGACATATATTCTTTTCTCTATGTGTTAATGTATATCTACATATGAATATAAATATATGAATGTATGTGTATACATATGTACTTATATGTACGATAAGAAAGATCATGTCACTTAAAACTACTTGTAACCTGGCTTTTCTCATGACACTATATCCTGAACATTGTTCTATATCATTAAATAATTTTCCCCAATACCATTTTGTAATGACTGCATAGCATTTCATTGATTGGATGTACCATTAATTTATATAACAAATTTCCTTTTGATGGACATTTTAGTGTGCACAGTTTTTCATGATTACAAACAACGCTGCAAGAAATCCTCTTGGTAAATTTTTGCATACATACTTGCTATTTCTTTCAGAAATTCCATGAATTTTGATTGCCAAGATGCCTTACAGAAAACAAACCAATTTATACCACTCTTTGCAGTACATCAGAGTGTTACTTTCGCAAACTCTCACCCAATGGGGTATTACCTTATAAATTCTTAAACTGTTTTTAATTACAAAGGAATGGTTATTTCCACAGTGGTATCTTGAGATACAACTAAAAAGAAAGAATAAGTATACTTAGAAACTAAAATTGCACAGTGAAACATACCTGGTAGCTTCCAGGAGCCTATTTTCCTTAAATGGTGGTAGGGTACTGATTATTTTCTGGTATAATTAAAACACAGTTCTTCTTGAAAGCAGGACTGAATGAGTGCTCCAGTGGTTGGCGCAGAGTAGTTAGTGTCTTGATGCCCTAATTTAATTGGCATTGCCTCTTCTTAGTCTCTGTCCTTCAATATATCCCTCATGCTACCTTAAATATCCCACCAATCAAAGAGTCTGTTGAATTAACAGGAGTTTAATTTTGAGAATGCTCCTGGGAGCACTAAGGGGAAATCAGTCATTCACAGCTTAGTATGAATTAATTCCAATTGGCTGAAGTCTTCTGATTATGTAGCAAAGACCTACCATACTGGGCCATGTTGAAAATTTCCGGGAAGAATCAACATTCAATATGGGCTACTTGAAAATGACACATCGGTTTAGGTAGGTGAGGTAGAGTGGTGTGGGAGCGTGGCACAGGCAGGGAACAGCATGAAGGCACTGAGGAAGAGTTGAGTACCAGGGAAGAGGGATGGAGAGTGATGCTGAAGGGCAACAGGGGCTAATACTGCTTCCTTTTCAATTTTGCCCAGTGGCTGACCAGAATCACCAATTGTTCAACCTTCTCCATTGCTAAATCCTTTGACAAGAGCTGTATACCCACAGGGAAAGGGGCTCATCTGAGTTTTACCTCTTTCTTAGATGCCAGAGGAAATGGACAACTCAAGGGTAATAGGAGAGCCAGAGTAGAGAAGGAACTTTCCTGGTTGGCCATCTCTGGGTAGACAGGTTTGATAGGCATGGATTCACAATCAAGAGGTAAAACCTGATCAAAATATAGATCAGGGCTCCCCTGGTGGCGCAGTGGTTGAGAGTCTACCTGCCGATGCAGGGGGCGTGGGTTCGTGCCCCGGTCTGGGAGGATCCCACGTGCCGCGGAGCGGCTGGGCCCATGAGCCATGGCCCGCGGAGCCTGCGCGTCCGGAGCCTGTGCTCTGCAACGGGAGAGGCTGCAGCAGTGAGAGGCCCGCGTACCGAAAAAAAAAAACAAAAAAACAAAAAAAAAACATAGATCAAGGGCCAGCCCAGCCCAGCCTACAGGGCTCCCAGCAGAGACCTACACTGATGAAGGGAGGGAACCCAGTAAATAAAAGTTAAAGGTTTTTAAATTGTTATTGTCCGCTTTTTGTCTTTTGGCATTTTTTTTCTTCTAGGGGCCCGATTACTCAGTGACTAACATTTTATTCACTTTTTCTGTCTCTCATTATAACGCTCCACATCACTCCTCTTGGTGCCACATAGAGACGTCCCATAGGCCTTACATTTTCCTGAGTATCAGCCTCTGTTTTTCTTGGGCTCTCTCCTAACTCACTTCTCATTTGTTAAAACCAAGGAGGTGGTCGGCATTTCCAGTGAGTCATATATTTGAGTTCCATGTCACTCTTAGGAGACAAAACATTTCCATTGTTAAAAAGATTCGCAAAAAAAAAAAAAAAAAAAAAAAAAAAGATTCGCAAGCAAAGAAAGGAAAAACATTTAAATTTTTCAGATTTTCCTTTGGAAACTTACAAAGAGCAAAATTTAAAGCATTATTCATTTATTGAAGTCTCGATATAAATCCATAAATAAAACTGTGAGCTGTCTATAAAATTTACTCAATATGACCCCCTAGTGATTTTTTAAAACAAAGTCCGTATATTGCAATTACGATGACCAGGAGTTTGGCATGCCTAAGCTTCGAATGGACGCCAAACAGAGGAACTGGCAACTCAAGAAAGCGGCCCCCCTCGACAGGGTCTCTTTCCCTACATCGCCTCCCTGGCACATTCTTTCAAATTTACTGCTACCACCTCCCCAAATCCAATCCCACATGATCAAGTGTGGTCTGAGCACTGCCATGTGAATGCCTTACTGTCATTGCCTCTCCAACCCCATATATCCAAGACCTTGTCCCCCATCGCCCCACAGCATTTCCATATCATTCTTGAATTTGATGGACCTCTGGTAACACCAGCCAAACAACTGAAACTGGAAAATTCAGTATATTAGTTTCCTGTTGCTGCTGTAACAAATTACCATGAACTTAGTGGTTTAAGACAATGCAAACTTGTTACGTTAGCGTTCTGTAGGTCATTAGTCCAACATGGGTCTCACCAGACTAAAATCAGGGTGTCAACAGGCTGCACACCTTTCTGGAGGCTCTGGGGGAGAACCTGTGTCCTCCTTATTTGGGTAACTGGCAGAATTCAGTTCCTTGCAGTTGGAGGACCTAGGTCCTCATTTTCTTGCTGGCTATAAATTGAGGGCCATTCCTCGATTCTAGAAGCCACCCACATTTCTTGGCCCCATTCCTCCATCTTCAAAGCTAGCAACAGTGGGATGGGGTAGGGGGAGTCCTTCTCATGCAGCATCCGTCTGACTCACTCTTCTGCCTTCCTCTTCCACTTTTAAGAACTCGAGTGATTAGACCGGGAGCACCCAGGCAATCCACGATCACCTCCCCATCTCCCAGTCCTGAGCTTTAATCACATTTGCAAAATCCCTTTTGTCATGTAAGGCAACATAGTTACAGGTTTGAGGCATTAGAAGGGGACATCTTTGGGGAGCCATTATTCTTCCTACATACTCAAAAATCCAGTTTTTTTTAAATTATGGAGAATATGACTTGCAAGGAACCACACTTTAGGAAGAAAAATCCCACAGGGGTTAAGTGAAGGGCCCAGAAAACTAGAGTCAGTTTCAGCAATACAGCTGAGTCTACAAACCGAAGGCCAACGCTCTGGCCATCGCTCCTGACTCCTCCTGTTCCCCACCTCCCATCCCACCCCCAGATTCCGTCATCCATCCTGTGCATTCTTCTCACCCTAACAGGGAGCTGTTGCAAGGATTAAAGAGAAATGATGTGTGTGATGACAGTAAGAGTGAACACTGATTGATGCTTCCTGTGAGCCAGGCTTAACGCACGAAGAGCTTCCTGCACATTTTATTATTTAAAATCAGCCAACGACTCTGTGAAATATGTGGATTCCTTAGCATCAGTCCTTTTTAGCGCTTGAGAAACTGAGGCTGCGCGAGGTTCCGTGAATTGTTCCAGGCCTCCGTGGGAATTCACTGTAGAGCTGGGATATGAACCCAGGCAGTCTGACTTCAAAGCTTACCCTCTGGGCCTCTATTCTATCCTACCTCCAATGACAAACTGTGTAGACCATAAACTAGTACATAAATGGAGGGTATTAATATTCCCTAATCTCTCTCTTACCTCTCCTTTCTTCCCATGCCCACTGCCCCCTTCTAAGCCCAGATCTTGATCGCCTCACATATAAGTGAAATATTAGAACCCAGAACCTTCTCATTGGCAAGGATCTTAACGTTCTTTGCGTCTGACTTCTCACCCAACTCAGTAAACCATCCCCCGCACGCACACCATTGGCTCCCAATCCCAGCTCAGCTCCCCGACGAGTTCTATCCTGCCCACACGATGGAACTCACACTGAAGTTTTTGAAAGTTTGAATTTCTTACCAACATTTAAGAATTAGGAGATTTCAAATAAAATTCCAAATTCTTACCCTTCCAAAATTGGAA